ACTCACTTCTTCTCAACGTAATTATATCAGCTCACTTCAGACGCATCGTCTGGCTGTCGATGAGTCCATCTCAGGCGAATTCGGACAGGGGTTTTTTTAAGCGACTTCGTATCTGTTTCCAAACAAAGCTGTCGCTAATTTGAGTCCATAAGCCTCAAATACATGGTGAATACAGCAGATTTTGGATTGAAAGTGACCAAAGTAGTCTGTATTTCTAAGGGTAGTGCAGCATTCGAACGGGCGCCAAATTTTGTCTCGCATTTAGGCGACCGGAAGCGGTCGGACTTGCTGTTCAATGGCGATCGTCACAACCAATCGCACCTTGTCCTAGAAGTCCTTCTCACGCATCTAAGCCCCGATAGACGTCAATCGACCACATGCTCATTGCTGACGTCTACTAGAACACCTGACACGACTGCCGTTTCGCCTTCACCAAAAGCATGATTTGAACACATTTGGGTGTGAGAATTTGGCGTACTTGTTAGTAGACCAACCGTGTAATCTCGATCACCCAATATCACCTTTCCTAGCCTAGAGTTTACAAAATTGGTTTCGAAATGGTGTCTGCTTTCTGTGACAGTTCATTGAGGGTTTCGGGCTCAAATTGAGAGCTCGGCGTGGCAGGATGCAATAGGAAATAGTTTAAGGAAAAAGTCGCGTTCAGAGGTCACCTTTCAAGGACCCATTGCTGTCCAATTTTGAATTGCCGAACTTCGAGGTGTCGAGGTGGTCATGGTCGTGCAGAAGGATAAAGTTCCCAACAAGACGAAGCTTCCACTGGTGCTTATTTGAATTCCTAATTGTCAATTAACCTATTATTGCAAGTTTGAGGCATAGATACCGGGTAGTGAACAAGGAAATGCGTTCTCCAAGCATCCTCTTGAGAATTTGAACGGTTTCTTTGAAAGAGGTCGAGTGAGGACTTGGAGAGGATCGTGTCTGTGTATCTCTTCAGTTCAGCTTGGCCCAGTTTGCGGGTAAGGAGTCTGACCTTCCATGCGTCGTCCTGGGACTCGGAACAGGTCTTCGTAACGCCGAAACCAGGACTCGAACGTTACGCCGTTCTCCGGATCATAGGAGAACCCCGAGATACTGTTGGTGACGCCGTCAGTTGACGGCGTACTGGCGAGAGCGGCCTAAGACGACTGGCATTCTGCAAGTAGTGACACTAACTGCTGAAGTAATTGTTCCATCCCTTTGTCACTCATCTCACCTGCGTCGCCAAAATTTTTTACGTTTGGCCGTAAAAAAGAGAAAACCACTCAGATAAAGGTACCAGACCACTTGTTGACGCTAGCACCGACCTTTCCACGCTAATACAAGGACAAGACCAGAGCTCGTTTAGAGGACTTTATTCACGTCAGCCACGTGCGGAGTGGGCTATCAAAAGTGAAACTAATTCAAGTCAAGGTTGACCTTGACCTGATAAAAAGCGTAATAAAACACATTTTAGTGAATTAGTGTAAATTGTGCCAGAAACCAACAATGAGCAATCTTGGGGAATCGTGGATCCCCAATACTAGTCTTGAGGACAAATTGTGGAGATAAAAGATGTTGCTGCAATCAAGAACGCTCAAACGCCTCTGTCTACAAACGAAGCAAGCAACAGGTAGGGGGTAAGATTCACAAATAGGAGAAGATGCATTGCATCATCGACTGGACCAACTGCAATGCGCTTCTGACACCTTGAAAAATGAACTGTCGATGGATTTTAGATACTGCGCTCTCTCCGTTTTCACGGAAATCACAGTCTATGTACCGCCATCGCTTCACCAAGAATGTGCTGGTATCATGCAACCTTTGGCAGTTCAATCCCGTCTTAATTTACGTCTGAAGTCGGTCAAATTAATTCACGATTGCAAGCCTTTTTACCCTGTTTCACTCGATTCGTATTTGGGGAGTTAATAAACTGTTTCGGCTTCTTTGTTGTCTCAGATGTTGTCTTTCCTTCTTCGAGGTTCTTGGTGGTCGTGCAACTGGCTAGACGTTGGTGCCATGTCTGCCGCAGTAACCTTCAGAGCAGAACAGGACTTAAATTAGCGACAATCGCACTATGCGTGTCGCGGAATGTGTCCATTGAGTAGAGAGGGCATGTGGCATAGAGCTGGTGTCAAGAACACCTCACTTAAGGTGGCTGCTTGCCCGCTTTTACCCGAAATAGCAAATCGTGTGTGCCACATTTTGACTGTGGCCTGCACAACCTTTCTTTGCCCCAACGATCCAAACGCACGACCGGATCATCCTCTGAGGCTGTGTAACCATAGATATCCAGGAAATTTCTCAAATTACTAATCCAAAACCCTAGTTTATCACACACAGCATTCCGCAAAATCACTAAACGCACGCCGGTCTGGTCCGTTCTTTATCCACCTCTTCCTTCCCGCACTCTCGCTTTCCTCAAGGCACGCCCGTGAGTCCGAGGGCAATACCAACCCTCCTCGCGGACATCCCTTTCCCCACCCTAACTCTCCCCAAGCTCTAGCCCTCTGAGTTTGTATGCAGTAGTATGAAATACATCCGGTTCTTCCAGCTATTCTTCTATCGTGTGCCTGGCAGCTAACCATGATGGTGTGGCCATCTAAGAGGGACGGGCTAACAGTCGTCCCCCTTTTGAGGTCCCCGCTCGGTAGTAGGCGCGTTACACAGTAGTGATAAGTGACGGTATTTGTTGAATTCATTTACTCTTTAACAATTATGGTTTACTCTTCTTAGTGTTGTAATATTTATCGTTTAGGATAACAGCAATAAAATCTAGGATATAGAACTGCTGCCTTTTTTCACTGATTCCACAATTGCATAGTCTGGTGTTATTTGCACCTGCGAAAGTGATCCCAGTTGATTCTTGGGTTCGATTTATTGATTTTAAATCTGGGATTTAACTGAGACCTTGGGACTCCAGAAAAATTATCAAATTACTAATTCAAAACCCAACATTCCGCGAAATCACTGAACGTGTCAATTTTCCATCTGCCCACATCGCTTTCCTAGGTGTTCAAAGGGACAGCTTCCGTGGCAGTTGATTTTGACATTAGAGAACACCACTAGGCAGGTATATCGCAGCCTCATCGGAAGGAACGATTACGGTACAATACGAACACGGACACGCTGTGGAAAGAGGGCAAGCGGCGTGCCGGAAAATTTATGCGACCTAAAATTCTCTAGAGGCATGTCCACACCCACTAACGTCCTACAGATTTACTACTAAGGACAGCCTAGCTTTGCATACGACAAGGCAGTGTCCAGAGTCACAGTAATAACTGGAACGTAAAGCCTTGTGTCACGTGATCCTTCACAGGTCCTCAGCTAGGCACCGCGATATCGACATGTTTGATTGGCAGTTCTATGCGCAGAAGCGGAGGATTCGAGGCCAGGATTTTCGTACTGCTTCGATGAGGCAAAAGAACGCGTGTCAATGTGTGGAACGAACCTGACAATGATTCCACCGAGTATTTGAGCCACTGTGGCCTCAATCGATCTAATAATCGATCGCCACAATATAGCCATGTGTTATGGGCATTTATTCATTACAAACAAATACACAAGTAAATTTTTGGTCTGGAATTACGAATTAAGTAATTGTGCAGAAATACTAACTTGACAGATTAGGTGGTGCTCGGTGATCTCAACCCGAGCACCTCTCATTTAGTGGACATGGATTCTCGAGAACGTCAATACTATTAAATCAGCATTATTCATTGTTTTTCGACTTCTTGCGAGGCTTGAATGGAACACAAAGCGACGGCAGCTTGACTTTTTCACACTTCAGATGCTGGCAACAGTCGCAGGTGTGTGTACAGGGTTCCCAACTGGCGGAGCAGGCGAGACGCCGGCACTTGGGGTTCACGATGAAGTTCTCACTGGTCAGGATGCGTTTCGCGACTTGAGGATCAAAATCCTGGCGTCGTCCTTCGCTTCTCCCAACCGACTCCTCTTCACGCCGGTTAATGACGTAGTGCAGTCTCATGATCTCGGACTGGCAGGCAACAGTCGAGGTCACGACGAACAGGATTACCACTGAAAATATTAAATGAAATTGAACACCAGCATTACATGTGCGTTTTTTGAACAGAGAGATCGTGTAATACTCGACATGGGTGTTTTGAGCAGGAAGAACAGTCAAGTGATGCTGTGCGATACAAAGGAACATGTAATCAACTAGAATTACCTTCGAAAGCAAGGAGCACGTTGACGTGTAGTAGCATATTTCAAACACAAGGCGCGCTAGCACGTGGTGCTTGAACTGTCCGCGCCTCACTGACGATCGATATACAACCATGCGAACGTCGCAGAGCATGAGCCAATGAGCGCTCAGATGAGTTGACAAGACGATGTGTGTGCCAACGAATATTCTTCCGCTTGCTACAGGAACACTAAGTTAGTAAAATGGGCAGTCTACGTCAATGCGATTGCGCAGTTGAGGTTAAGTACATTTCCACTCAAATTATTGAGCGTACCCATTGGCAAATGTTGTTCCGATACACTGAAAAGTGCCGAGGCTCCCAACGCGGTCATCTCATAGTTTAACTCATTTACTGATGCGGTAATAGCCTAGTTACACAAAGTAATGGGCCGTCAGCTAATAGGAGATTGGTTTTAAACGCTGTTACTGAAGTGCATTCAAGTGAATCAACTGAAATCGTGTTCCTCACGTCCGCTGTGTTCGCTCGCTGATCACCACAAGAGCGGGACTGGCATTCCAGCTGAGTGAAATTCACTGAGATTGCGTAGTCGAGGTCAATCACTTTGAGTGTACCCACTGGCAAATTTATTACAAAACTAGAAGAATAATTAGTGCTTGCCCTAGTCAGTCCGACGGGTTAACTCGAAGTAACTGTTGATTTCTACTGCAACCCGATTTTCACGAAAAAGGCAATACCAATGTAGTAGTAATTTGTGGCTTTTATACAAGTCAGCATACGGTAAATACAGAGAACTGGAAATTGAGTAGGTGAGATGTATTTTGTAGGAGGAATGTGAGAGAATCCTTGACCCATTCAATCCTAACTGCTAGTTAAGACTGCACGGTTATTGGCAACTGAAGCAGTCGCACCGTTCTCAACCTGAGACAAACCGACGGTGTCTCGTGGCGATTGAGAAACTGGTGAGACTGAGAAGAAGAGCTTCATGGGTCGATTGCGCACGCCTCCACGCTTTGCACGGATCCACGAGGAGGCACAGGAGTTGAGACAGATCAGGTCGGAGATGGTGTAGTCCGAGGTAAATCGGTCGCCGTCTTCCGCGACAAAGAAGAAATCAACTGCGTGCTGTGAGGGCTTGAGATCAAACTTGAGACGAATCAACTTCTCCAAGTGACCCACCGTCAGTGCGGGAGGGCAGAGAAGGTAGGTGGTGGGTTGGATACCCGGTGGGGATGGGTGAGAGTCCCGCCAAAAACTTAACTCCAGACTGACACGCTCTTCTTCCTTATCCACATAGGCGCTGAGAGTGATGTCACCACGTTTTTCAGGACTAAGAGGACGCACGTCATCGGACGGAAGAGCTAAGGGAACAAAACACCACACGACATGTAGACAGAAATAATTGAACACCTAAAATTCTGACAACGTAGGAAGCTACTGGCAAAACCGACAGTGCATCAGCGCTTTCCTAACACACGTACTTGATAGATTTTCGGGGCCTCCATTAATTAAACACGAAAACGTCCAAAATATGCATAACAATATAATCGTATACGCAAACATGAATTTGAAGCACAACACATTGTTAAAAAATACGTACAAGCATAAAATTCTCTCCTGGAAGACATTTCACGTTCGAAGACCTTTGGAAGCAACTTGTACACGATGGCCTGCAGAACATAGTCTGACCGAATAGCATATTGTGGGCGCGTTTTGTGAAGAAGAGTATCACAAACAGGGCAGGTGTTCCGATGTTCAAGGAATTTGATGATACATGTTTTGCAAAAGGAATGTAAGCACTCGACAACTGTGGTAGCGTCAATGATGTAGCCCTTGCAAATGTAGCAGGTCAGCATACTGTTAAGTTCCTCGATGGGAATTTGCGTGACCTTGTCCATGTTTAAACGA